TCCTCCTCTCCCTCCTCCTCTCCTCCTCTCCTACCCATCTTCCTCTCCCTCCTCCCCTCCTCCTCTCCTCCTTCTCTCCTACCCATCCTCTTCCCCCTCCTCCTCCGCCCCCCCTCCTTTTTGATTAAGATATAATTTACCTGGGCACTCTGGTGGCTCAGTGATTCAACACTTAGCTGCCAACCAAGAGGTTGGCAGGCCAACCCCACAGTCACTCCATGGGGGTCGGGGCGGGGGTGGGCAGCCCTGTCTGTCTGCTCCCACCAAGAGTCCAGCCTCAGGAAAAGCACCGCTCAGTCCTAGAGGGTCCCCATAAGTCAGATCACACGGATGGTGTGCAGTCGGGGAGCTCTTCCCGCGTGCTCCAGGCTCTCTGACCATCCAAAAGACCAAACGAGAGATGAAAAGAGAACCCCAGCCAGTTGTCCTGGCGCAGACTGGACGGTGACGCATGGCGGCCCTGTCCGTGGGTCTCAGAGTGGAGCTGTGTTCCACCACAGGGTGCTCAGCGGCTGGTTTTCCTCAGATGGATCACCAGGCCTTTCTTCCAACGTACCTTTGAGCGCGCTTGAACCTCCAGCCTGCTGGTTGGAAGCCCAGTCCCAGCTTATTTCCAGCACTCTTCCCCTGTCCACCACCCCTGCTCCCCACCAAAACAACAACAACAGCAACAAACCCAGTAGCAGTCACTCTGCCCTTCTAGTGTGCAGTCGGGTTTCCTGTTGTGAGTTTCAGTTTGTTGCCATGGTCATACCTGTTCAAATACCTCCTAAGTCCCGGAGTATGCAGAGCCCGCCGTGGCATACTCAATGGCAGTGAGTCTGGAAAAAGCAGCAGGGGCCAGAGAACATGTAAAAGGAGCCAGAGACACAGCGCCTGCTCACACGGAGGCTGCCCAGAAGCCAGAGAGAGGAGCCTGTTTCCCTGGGCACGTCCAGGCATTTGTGGGGTGTCATGCCAGCCGGCACGTACAGGCTCCCTCGGTATTGCTTTACTCCCGGCCCCCCTCTCGCCCGCAGCACATCCCTGGAAAGCTGCCGAGAAAGTAGATATGGGCATGTGGAATCGTTTCTCCTATGTGTCCCTGTTGTCGTCTTGCAGAATGTGTCCCTGTGGGGATTAAAGAAAAGAAACCAGCTGACCCTCCAGACACCGCTGCGGTCGTATTCACAGGCCTCCTGTGCACACAGAGGATGCCGTGCCTTCTCAGGGGCACAGGGTCTGTTCACAGAACCCTCCCACGCATCTCCTCCACATCCATTGGGCAAGCCAACCATGTGGCTTGGAGTTGTTGAGTTTGGAGGCGGGTTTTGCTTTGTTTTTTTAACTCGTTTGATGGCACAGAGAGATGAAACCACCCCCTACGGTTCATTTTCCTCTTTGGGGGTCTTAACCCTCTCGGGGCAGAACAAGCCAAGCTTCAGGCTTTTCCCCACAACCCGTCCAAGTGGACCTGGCTGGCATTTTACTTGTGGTCCCTTTAGGAACAGTGGGAATTAGGGGACCATGACAGGGCAGGATTGAAGAGGGAGTGTTGGCCTGTGCCTTTGTCTACACAGGACACCAGCTTGGTCTTCAGTCTGAAATGACCAGCCTGTGCAAGCAGGTGTCCCCTGGCCGGGAGACCAGGCACCTCATCTGGTAAGGCTGTAGGCGGGGCTTCTCCAGGGAGTCCTGAGGCCACACACTCACAGAAACTGGGACTCGGTCTAGCTAGGAAGAGAGGATCCACGCACACACACACACACAGGTATGACTGGGGTTGGTGAAGAGCTATCTCTAAGGCCAGAGGGTGCAGGAAAGGGCCCTGAGAGAGATGGGCGGGGGCTGCATCCCACCCTCAGCCAGTGCCCAGGCGGGCCACCCCGTCACCGCCCACCAGGGGACACGGGCTGCGCCCCACAGGACGCAGTGGGCTGCCTGCCTCTTCCCGGGCTTGATGTAGGACTGTGCGTTCCCCTCTGCCACATTCTCCAGTCCAAGGTAGCTCGTCCTCACCACTGCTTTCTGTCCCGGCGTGGGCGCTGTGAGCAGCCTGGCCACAGCTGAAAGGGGCTGGACCTGTGTCCGTGCAAGCAGTGAGCCCCCTACAGCTCAGCCCACCCTGCTTTGGAGGGCTGAACCAGCCATCTCAGGGCCTCTTCCAGAAGCTTCCTACCCAGCGTGGCCAAAGGCACCTATGGTTTCTGATGGCATCCCACTTCAGAGTCCTGCTGGGCTATGTGTGACCCTGGGCCTCCCCAATGACAGACAGTCTCCTCCCTCCTCCTGTGGGGCAGTCTCGTGGCTCGGTGGGTTAGGTCTTGGGCTGCTAAGGTCGGTGCTTCAAACTCACCCACTGGGAGAAAGAAGAGGCTGCCAGCTCCCATAAAGATGCACCGTCTCATAAACCCAGTCTCAGGCTGCTTGCTGTGGGCCGGAATCCAGTCAGTGGCAATGGGGGTGCTTTGAGTGAGGAGTATCGCCTTGAAAGGTCCCTGGGGAGCTTCAATGGTTTGTACTCCTGAGTCGGAGTCAACTGGGTGGCTGCGTTTGTTGTTGTCAATGTTGTTGTTGTTGTTGTTGTTTGAGATTCACAAAAGAGTAGGTGGTTTGAATCCACCCAGAGGAACTGTGGAGGAAAGGCCTGGCGTTCTGCTTCCACAGGTTCACAGCCATTGAAATGCTGGGTGACACAGGGTCGCCATGAGTCAGTGACTGCTCTGTGCTGGTTACCTCGCTGGCTTTTCATGCCTGCCCTGCAGGTGGCAGGGGCCAGGCATTGGATAGCGTTCCCATTGAAAGCTCTGAAGAAATGGGGCTTCTCCAGGTGAGGGGGCACCAGGTGACCTCTGATGCCCAGGTGCAGAGTTGGTGCCGAGGAGGCTTCAGACGGAGACCTGAAGCGCAGCCCCCAGAGGTCCAGGCTGGACTCTGCCCTTCCCCATCTGTGTGTGTGTTTCTCATCGCGGCTTTGTCCTGGCTGGGAACTGAGTGGCCGCAAGCAAGACTGGTTCTGTTAGGGTCACAGGGGCCAAAACCAAAGCATTAATGGGCAGGGGCCCCTCCCTTTCTGGAAGCTCGGGGTGGGGGGATCTCTGGTCTTTCCTTTCCCAGGCCCGCATGCCTTGGCTTGTGGTCCCCTCCCATCTTCAAAGCCCATGAGGGCCTACCTGCCACTCACACTCCTGACCCTGCTTCTCTGCAGAAGGACCCCTGTGACTTTGTCGGGCCCACTTGGCTCATCTAGGGCCGGGGTCGGCAAACATCTCAGGCGGAGAGCCAGTCCTGCCCCTTGCAACGGTTTAAACATCATCCGAGAGCCCGCATAGATTTGTACAAATGTATGAAATCACATCCCCACTATCTGAATCGTATCCTATAAGTGAGACGATGATGGCTTTTGTTTGCATGTTCGTCTCGACTTCAGGACTGCCCTCGTGTCCGTACCCAACGGGCTGCCGAGGACTGGCGAACCACAGTTTGCCGACCTCTGATTTAGAGTCACGCCCCATTTCAAGTTCTCCAGCCACGTCTGCAAAGCCCCCCTTCTGGTACACGCTGGCACGTTCCTAGGCTCCTAGCTGTTCCTCTGCTTTAACTCTGCTCCCTGGGCCTTGAGCTCTCTGTCCGCCTCCTCATCCATAAAGGGAGCCCTTCCACCCCACCCCTCCCCCCAGGGTTGTTGGAGGAATCCCATGAGCTCCCTGGGGTGCAGGGGATGGAACCTGGCGAGGGCTTTCAGAACATGCGTTTTTAGCATCCTTCCATTATTTCAGAAATCACCTGGGTTCCTCACTGCCAGTGGGTCTGTGGGGATGGGTCAGGCTGGTTGAGGGACTGTCACCTGTCCAGTGAGGAACACCTTGAGGGGGAGTCTGGGCCTGGGGACGTGTGTCTAAGGAGAGGGGGTGGTGCTAACCCGGGGCTATGAAGAATCCTGATGGTGGAGGGGTGGGTGGACTGAGAGACACCCCCCCTGTGGCCAGGGAGAACTCGGGCTTCTGGGGCCACTGGCATTTGAGCTGTGTCCCATGTTGGTCATGGAGGCTTCCCCCAACCTGATGCCCTGTCGTCTGTGTCAGGTGAGAAGTTGAGGGTTAACTGCAGCCGAGTTCCTAGTGAGGAGACGTGGGGGCAGGTTGGAGGGTCTGGTCAGAGCCCTTTGTGACGTCGCCCCCTGGACCGTGCGTCCAGAGCGACGCAGCCTCTCGCCTCGCTGTCCAGGCTGTGGAAAAACGGCGAAGCCATGCTGGGAAAGAAAGAGCCTGTCCCCGGGAGCTCAATTACTGCCGCTCCTGGGCAGCCTGTGGGAATCGCCCGTTTGGCAGCTGCTGCGCGTGGGGCCGGACTGGGGCGTGGTGTCAAGGGCCTGGGGGACACCAGTCAGGCTGCGGAGGGGGATTAATGGGGGCAGAAGAGTGACCCTGTTCCAGAACAGCCTCCCTGCGGTGCCCACTCAGGAGGCAAGGGTCTGCCCCATGTTTCCCGGGGAAGGGGGGCTTGCAGAATCGAGGGAGGTGTGAGGAAGACCAGTCAACGGCAGTCAGCTTGAAGTAGGACTTGCAGCAAGAGCCAGGGGCCAGGTGGGGCCTGGGATACTACAGGTTCAGGCAGAGACCCACAAAGGTGCCCAAGAGTGCCCTGGCATCTGAAGGACTCACCTCTTGTGGGAGGCGGGCATTGTCCAGCAAGGAGCAGCCCCTCGCTCTATCCCCCTGGCCTGGGTGCTGCCAGAGTCAGGCTGGCTGCTCGCAGGAGTGTGGGTTGCTGAGTGGGGTCTTGTGGGATGAGGAGGAAGGAGTCCAGTGGGTGGACCAGAGAACCAGCGCCGACCGTGGGCAGAGGCAGGAAGCAGTTTGAAAAGCAAGAACTCTGTCAGGACCCCGGGGTGTATGTATCTGCCAAGATAGGGAGCCGGGCATTTCTTCAGGGACGGCCCAGCCTAGAGTCAAGCCTGGCTGCTCGTGAGTGTTCGGGGGAGCAGGAAGCCCTGCCCCCTGGCCGGTCCCTCCCCTCCAATGTGGCTGTGGACAGACCCGGCCTAACTAGTTAAAACCTCTGGCCCCGTGGTCCACAGGGACTCTTCCACAGGGATTGTCCCAGGTATCTGGTCCCTGCCAGGGTACCAGTGCAGGTGAGGGCAAGGAGACGGGGCTAGCCTCGGTGGTGACAACTGTGAATAGAAGGGGGCCCTGCAGCCCCGGGTCTCCCGTCAGGGCCCTGTCTCACGGACCGTGCAGCCCTGACCAGCCCTGGGGCGCTGGCTGAGTTTCTTGGTGGTGCCACTGTATGGGCCGGACCAGCAGAGGGTGGCTTTATAGAACAGAAGTGTCTTTTTCCGCACAGCTCGGGAGGCTGGCAGACCACATTTGGAGGGTGGGGCGAAGGTGTCAGGTTCCTGTTTTGTCAGCTTCAGCTTCTGGGATCTGCTCTATGAGATAGAGATGGAGCTTCCTACTGTAAAGAAGTATCGTCCCGGAAACCCCCCAGAGGCAGTTCTACTCTGCCCTGCAAGGGTGCTATGAGTCGGCATCCACTCGATGGCAGTGAGGGGGTCACTGGTGACCCTTGCTCTTCCATCTGTGTCTCTCTGACCTGGATATTATTTAGACGAGGCTACATTGAGGACATGCCTACCCTGATGGGGCTTCCAAATAATGACCCCCACCAAACCAAAACCAGACTCCCTGCAGTCTGCTGATTCCTGAGTTGATGCCGACTCATCGGGACCCCGTCAGAGGGGGAGAGCTGCCCCTGGCAGTTTCTGAGACTCGTAACTGTTTGCGGGAGTAGAAAGCCCCATCTTTCCCCCGTGAAGCAGCTGGTGGTTTCAAACCGCCAACTTGGCAAATCACAGCCCAGGGCATCCCCACGGTGCCACCTCCAGGACAGGACCTCTCAGTTCATTCCTAGAGGAGCCCTGGTGCGGTGGCTGTGAGTTGTGGGTGCTAACCACAAGGCCCGCCGTTCAGAACCACCAGCCGCTCTGCAGGTGGGAAGACGGGGCTTTCTGCTCCCCTAAAGAGTGACGGTCTCAGAGATCCCCAGAGGCAGGTCCTATAGGGTCGCCGCGAAACTCAGGGGAGTAGTTCCGTCTTGTGGCATCGACCCCATGCCAGTGAGTTTGGCTGTGGTGGATCCACGCATGCTGTCGATTCTGACGCACGGGGATCCTTTTGGACAAGACGACGCTTCCCTCCACTGCAGCGGTTCTCAGCCTGTGGGTCGCAACCCCTTTGGGGGTCTAACGACCCTTTCACAAGGGTCGCTTGTTTCATCATAGTAGCAAAATGACAGTGGTGAAGTAACAATGAAAATAAATTTAGGGTTGTGGGGGATTATTATCACGTGAGGAACTGTATTAAAGGGTTTCGGCATTAGGAAGGTTGAGGACCACTGCTCCATAGGGTTTCCAAGGCTGTGAATCTTTACAGGTGCAGCCCCCCCGTCCCCCCGCCCCCGACCTTTCTCTTAGCAGCCTAGCACCTAACCTTATACTGACCCAGCAGGGCTCCTTCACCAGGGCCCAGAGGACTGGGATTCCAGGACATATTTGGGGGGCACCCTAGCCCTGCCACACCCTGTGCCGTGGGTTTTCCTTGACCCCAGGCCACGCTCTTCAGCATGCTCATCATGTGCACCATCCTGACCAACTGCGTGTTCATGGCCCAGCATGACCCCCCATACTGGACCAAGTATGTCGAGTAAGTATCCTGGGACTTCTCCACGCCACAACCCCAAACGTCACCCCCACAGGAGGACCGTGTCCAGGCCCAGGGACTCGCCACCTAGGGGCTCCTTAACCCAGCCCCCTCCCCTCTTTTGCCTCTCCCAGTCCTGCGAGGTCCTGGTGGTCGGCAGTTTGAAACCACTGGCAGCTCCTAGAGAGCAAGGCCGGGCTTTCTACTCCCGTCAGCAGTCCCTGTCCTGAGAAAGACCCACAGAGGGCACTGTGAGATGGCAGCGGATGGGGGGGTGAGGGGCTGGGAGGTCCGTGTGGCTGTGCTGCCCAGCGACCTGGCCTGAGGGCTTTCGGCCTCTCTCCCCAGGTACACATTCACAGCCATTTACACATTCGAGTCTCTGGTCAAGATCCTGGCCCGAGGCTTCTGCCTGCACGCATTCACCTTTCTGCGGGACCCGTGGAACTGGCTGGACTTCAGCGTGATTGTCATGGCGTAAGTACCGGCTTGCTGTCCCAGGCCGAGCCAGGCCCGTCTCACTGTGTGTGGGGGGTGGGGGCCGGGGGTGGGAGGGGGAGTTTGCACCATCCCCAGCCCCTCAGCTGCCCGCAGTGGCCACTGGCCGCTCCCTATGGGCTGTTGCTCCATCCTGCGGTCAGGAGGACGAGGTGAAGGCCCCCGGCTCATCTGGTGGCGAGGGATGGATCCAAAATAGCCCAGGCAGGCTGTGGTGGCCAGGCCGCCCTGTGCTCCAGGGACATCATTAAGATTCGACTTAGCATCCTCTACTCTTTTCACCCAGAGAAACCAATATGATAGCCCAAAATCCCTGAACTGCCTTCGACAGTGACCTGATTCCAAAGTGATTAAGACGGAGACCGCAGGAGAGAGGAGCCTGGGGAAGCCAGCAGGCAGGCAGGCAGTCCCCAGGACTTTGGCCAGCCAGATAGCCTGGCCCCCGCTGCCACGCCACCATGCCGGGCGTCGCATCTGGACACACCTGGCGGCTTTGCTGGGACAATGGTCTGGTTCCTAGCAACCCCTGTGAGGATGGGTTCGGGGGCCAGGCAGTGTTGTGGTGGGCTTTCCGCAAGTCAGAGCTGACTCAGGGGCACCTGACACTGGGGCATCCTTCCACCAGATGGAAAGGCTGACTGGCTGGGGCCACTTGGTCCCATTTTGCAGATGAAGAAACTGTTGCTGGGATCCATCGGAAGGTGACGGCCAGCTCTGACCCACCAACCGAGGCCCCCTCCTCCTTGCCTCTCAGCAGCCTCGTGTGAGGCGGCCAGCACGGGGGCCCTGTGTGCTGGCAGAGGGGGCGGGGGTGAGCAGGGCAGGCCTCCCTGCAGAGCTGTGTTGAAGCCGTCCCTCTCTGAGAGCATGGGGTGTGCAGAGCACCCTGTGTGTGCAGGGAAGGCTCAGAGGGCTTTGCTCCACACCCTTACATGGCCCAGACTCCCCGATGGTGGAAGGAAGGCCTGCGCTGAGCTAGGCGGGTTGACGGCTTCAGTCCACCTTCCCCTCTCTAGGAGTCTCGTATTTGCTGAGCCCACCTCTTTCCGACCAAGTGTGAGTCGAACCCCGGGCCGTGAGCAGGCCAACCAAAGCAGGTGGCTAGAACGTGCCTGTCTCTGCACAGACTGAGTGTGAGCCGAGGCCAGCCCTCTCGTGGATAGATAGGGACACCGAGGCTAGCTGAGCTTGGGCTCCATCTCCAATGTCAATGAGGCCTGGCCACAGCGGAGTGAACCGGCAGGAGGCTGGTGGGAACTGTGGACACAGAGGTGATGGGCCAGCAGTCAAGGCCGTGTTCAGACCTAAGTGGACAGGAGCCAGGCTCTGGGCTGCCTTCTTCAGAAACCACTGTGTGGAACATAGACTGACGGGGAAGGCCAGTCGGAAGCTGTGTTCTTTGAGCCTGGAAGAGAGGGCTGGGGATGGAGAAGATGAGAGGCGGTCTGGTTCTGGCTGCATCTTGAAGGAAGGATGGTCTCCACTGCCCGCGATGGTTGTGGGCCCAGGCAGCTGGGCAAGTGGTGTGGCCTTGGATTTTTGTGCCAGGCGCTGGCCAGCCATGGGAAGAGGAGAGACCAGAGAGACCCCGAGAGGACCACCAGGAGGTGGCTGGTATTTAAAGCCAGGAGCTCAGAGGGGTCTCAAGGGTAACGGGGGAAGAAGGTTGACCCGGAGACTTCACCGTGCTCCGCTCCAGCACCCCGGAAGACCCCCGGGGAGCGAGTGAAGACCACCAGAGGGAACCAGCTGGGGAGGCTGGGAGAAAAGAGGGAGGGAGGATCATGAGCCCACCGCTCTGCTGGGCGAGAGGTGAACCGAGAAGGGGCCCCAGGGGCCCTGGTGACCTTGAGCATGGTTCCAATGGAGTGGCAGACGGACCCCAGATGAAAGAGGGCTCGAGGGGGTGGGAGGGGCAGGCGTGGCCGTGGGCATCTGCTGGGCAGGCTGTGAAAGCAAACCAGAAATGAGGTTCTGGCCAGAGGGGATCGTGGGGCGGAGAGAGGACCTTTGCCGGCTGAGGGACTGGTCCAGGAGAGGGGGGACCTTTGACGCTGTTGAGAGGTGGGGACATTGCTGGAGCAAGGTCCCTGAGTTAGTCCAAGAGGGGCTGGGAGCCCGTGTGCGGGTAGAGAGTGGGCTGCACCCACGCGCCGGGAAGGCAGGCAGACATTGCCGTGAAGAAGGAGACGAGAGGGTCGATGATGAGGGAAGAAATCTCTGCACTGATTGCTCCTATTTTCTCAGGGAAATGAACAGGATCATCAGCTGGGAGGAAGGCGTGAGGGGGTCTGTCTGAAGCAGAGGAGAGCGAGGGGGCGTGTGTTTCTTCAAGCCGGAGCGAGCTCAGGACAGCAGTTTGGGAACAGAGCGGGTTGCCAGGCTCCGGGGTGCCCTGTGTTGTGGGGGAGACCGTTCTCTGTGGGCCTCATAGCCCAGTGTCATTGTGAAGGGGCTTCAGGCTGAGGAGGGGCCGATGTCCGCCTGAGCCATGCTACCCACCCGTTCCTAGCCCCTGAGCAAGACTTGTGTCACCACAAAGAGGCTTTAAGACCCCAAGGAAAGGCATCACCTGGGCCCCTGAGCCATGTAGGAGTCAGGCTTCACCGCATCTCCAGCATGTGCCGCACAGCACACCGGTCCTATGGAGTCCCCCTGTCCTGTCCTGCCCTATTCTGCCCCGCTTTGCCCGTGTGGTCCCAGGGGAACCCTT